CCCCAAAACCCCAAAACCCCAAAACCCCACTAAGTTTGAATTTGAAAATTAAAGAGTTATTATGAAATCAAGAATAAAAAGAATATTAGATAAATCACCAAAATGGACACCAACCAATATAGCATTGAGCTAGATTTTCATGTGAAGCTGCCTGCTTGATAAGATTGTCAACTTACCTCTCAATGTCCATTTTTTAGCCATGTTAGAATTCCATACCTCTTAGCTTATCATTGATTCTTTGAATTACAATTTCTGCAGTTTGGTTAAGTTCTTGTCTTCTGGCATCCTCACCTTCTTCTTCAATCATATGCATAAGCTCTTTCTCTTCCATTTTCCTAGAGAATTTGCTCTCAGCATAATTCTAATTGTATTCCTCCTTGCCGTGATGCTTCTAGAATCTCTCTAACACTTACTCAACAATAGATTCTCTAATAGTACCATTTTTACCTTTTCTTGTACTCATACTCTTTGGTGCAAAAGCATTATTGACATTCTATTTCTGCTCCTCTTGATTTGGATTCTATTGGTCAGTATTGTTCTTTTGCTGATGCTGCTTCAGTATCTTAGGGTTGAGCAGTTTGAAACTAATAAGTGGATCATAAACAAAAGCCTCAAGAATTGCCAATAGAGATTCCTTGCTTGCTCTCATAACTCTCATTGTATTTTCGCAAGTTGTTCTAAAATTACCTTCAATGCCAGAAACCTCCATTGCTTTGATAAGCATTCTAGTAAGTCTAAATGGAATCTTTTCAGGGAACTTTTCTCTTCTCATTGCGATTTCAAAACAATCACCAAAGTCAATATGGATAATTTTGCCTGAATATCTATCAAGCATAATATTAGAGGGATGTCTATCTCCAAGTCCAAGTATATATCCTACCATAGACATAACCGCTAGAGATCTGGTATAATTTGTTCTTCTTTCAAGCCACAGTTCTGAATTTTAGGATTTTAACCAAAGAACTTTTTACAAATCTTCGCCCATTGTTCTATCAAGTGCATATCTAAAAATTTCAACTTTATTTGGAATAGGGCAAATGTCAAAGTGATCGCACATTGATTCCATCAGTTTATATTCAATGTTGGGGATAATGTTGGCTTATGATCTGTGGTCCTTAATAAGTTGATGAAGTGTATCACAGTTTGGCACCCATCCAATAAGACCAGTATTTTAACTCAGTGGAATTACAGGGTATCTTCTAATTGATAAATCCTTTTTACTGGTCTGAGGATCGATTGCAAGTAAAGTATTAACGAGTCCAAAAAGTTGCATCACTCTTTCATCTTGTCTGATGTCTTCATGACCTTTCAATAAGAACATGTATTCTTTGCCATCGCTTCCATACATTTGCATTTTCCTTGGATGTTGCTTGGATGACAGAACTGGCAAAACTGATGCAAACTTTGATATTTTAACAATCTTCCTATCACTTTTAAATGTGCCAGGCACTGCAATGTCTAAGTTTTCAGAGTCAAGGAGTTTGGGTGCTACATTCTTCAGTTCATAGAATTGGACCTCCTTTTGCTTAATAGAGATTCTTCTGAAAACACTTAGATACAGATCCCAAGCTTGATTAATGTCTGTTTAGCTCTTTGTTTGGATAAATCTTTTAGTCCAGCCTTCAGCCTCTTAAAGGTCACTGGCGTAACCTTAGTAAAAGGAGATCTCGTTCATGGTCTCTGGTTAGCTTTCCATCATTTTATGATGAGGAGTCAAATAATTGAGCATAGCTTTGGCATCATTCTATCCAAAGTAAATTCTACTTGCCTCTTCAATCGCTTCATTCCAAATCTCAGCTAATACAATAGCACATCTTATTAATTCATCTGATATCATTGTTGCTTATTCTATTAGTATTGGCTGTTTTGCTTTTAACTTTTCGATAAGCTGATCTGCAGCTTTTCTTCTCTCAATTGTCTTGGATTTCTAAAGAACTGAGAGACTGTAGATAAGAGCTTATGGAAATTTCTGTGATATTCTCTCTAATAGGTCAATGAGTGATTTTCTAATGATATTATCCTTGATGTCTACTCTTGCAAGAAGTTGTGGAATGACATCTATCCAAATCTTTAGATCAATTCTTTCAAACCCTTTTCTGATAATTTCCTCTATCTCAATTAGATTTCCATGTCTAAACCAGAGTTTCAAGAGTCTCAAAGTGTTTTATAAAGTCTTAGTCATATCTGATGAATACATCTGATCACTCAATGAAAGCTATTGTACTAGTCCCTTGATAGCGCATACCACATGATATACATATTTCTGGCCTAACTGGATCTGACTGATAGTAGCATGAGCTTACAGCTATTGTATTTGATAGCTTGTCTATGGTGAGAAATCGTCGAATATGTTTGTCTGGTAGCTCTGAGATGAGTTCTCTTGCAGCTGACTGTATTCTTCATTCAATCTCTTAGAGAAGTAAATGCAAGCTTCATAGTTCATAAGTGAGTAGAAGTGCCAGGCCTCTTAGTTCTTAGGATGAATTTAGGTTGCCTACTCGCAGGTCTACAGAATATGCTAGTAGTCACCTTCAGTCAGATTGATTTTGTTTAGTTCTTGCTGCTCATAATGCCACTACCCTAGCTTCAAGTAGCAATCACTTTTGATCTGATGGTCCATATCTTCCTTATCTTGGATAAGTTTCTTCAAATTCTGAATAGCCTCATGATATTTGCCAGAGATAAAGACAGTCTATTGAATGGCGAATTCTACCTTTGCAAATTAGTTCGTAAGCTTTAAAGATTTCTCAGCCTTGGCTTTAATTAGTTCATTTTTTAGATTGATCAAAACTCTTTAACCTAGATCGTTGTTTCCACAGTTCTGAGCTAGCTTAGCGAACTTGAGGTAATAGTCTATCTCCTCTGATTTATCTATGACAAGATTTCTAATGTTTAGACTTTTCTACCACTATTCGAGATCCTAGCTTGGTTAGTACTCTAGTCTGCTGCACCAGAGATTATACAGATGCTTCTTTCTTGTCTCATCTGTTGCAATTTGTTTATACTCAATGATCTCTTCTAATTCTCTCAAGTTTTGCATTTCTTGAATTAGCAGATAGGCTCTGTTATAACTCTCACCCAGAAGTGAGGTAATCTTAGGATCTAGAACCTCCCTAGCCTTGTCGATATGCTTCTGAGCATCGTTGTACTTGCTACTCTTGATGTCAAGCACTGCTTGGAAAAAGTTTCTTTCATAAGGATTTTTCTGGATGTCTAGCACTTTCACATATTGCTAAAAGTTCTCCCAGTTACCCATATTCCAGGCTGAATAGGATGCTAGTTCTGATACTTACTTTATCTGAGAGAGATTTTAAGAGTTGACTTAGGGAATTGAATCTTACTACATTTACTAGTCCCATAACTATTCAACTAGCACTGATAAATTGCCCCAGTCATAAAGATTTCTGTAGCAGTTCATTTTACCCTTGACGATTTCGAAGTTATTAGGGTCATATTGCTATTTTTACTCATAAATTCTGAGAGCATCTTTCCATCTATGAAGTTTCTCATACCAGTCTTCTTTCTCATCAATTAGAATGTTCTTTTTGGCATATTCGAGAATACCTTCAGCAGCCTCTGGTTACTGCAAGCCATAGTTTGTCTAAATTAGAAGTTCGATTGTGTTTCTTGGATCATTGTCAAACTCAAGTTCCCAATAATAAAGTGCTTTAGCATAGGCATTGCATTACTCTGCAATTCTAGCGAGAGTTGAAGCAGAGAACACTTTGATGTCTGTATTTTCATCCAACTCCATAAACTCTGCCAAATTCAAGATAGTCTGGAGAACGATAGTTGGCTTGCTATTTGACTTTATTGCACTTAGATAGTTTTCCATTATCTTCTCTTTACCTTTGTCATTCATTATCTTCCAGCAGCTTACAAATGCAATGTTGTACAACTCATTAGCAATTGGGGCATACACTTCAGCCAAAGTACTGCAAGCATATAGAATTGGCGATGGTGACTATTTCAATAGCTAATGTGAAGTCTTCTTCAGCCATTCAATCCAATCAGCCTCAATGCTACACTTGGACGTATCGAATTCTTTCAGAAGTAAGTCAAACTTTATGTGCTTCTTCCTTATTTCTTGAGCTTCTAACATAGATTTCTTTGGCATATTGCCGTTATTAGCCTGAGCTTACTACTCTTAAGTCTCCTTTGTCTGTTGACTCAATTTCTCTTCGTCTATAATTTGCTGATGCTTGAGGTTATTATAGAAAATATCGATTGGGTTAAGTCGAGTAATTTCTTCAACCTTAATGTCAAATTCTTCAAAAAAGAGTTTGTTTCTTTTGATTGCTTTCTGAATCAGAGAGATATAAGGTGCGAAATCAATTAGGAGTTTTCCAGCTAAAGATGTAAAAAGCTTTAGAATTTCTTGAACCAGATTAGTCAAATTTGGTTATGTCTCCATCACTTATAAAAGCTGATGCACAATCTAGCCAACATGCTCTCTAAAGCTTGTACATTCCTTGAGAGTATCTATAGTCTTTAGAATTTCAATACTCAAGCTAATCTCAATACTTTGGATACCATTAGATCCGATACGTAATAGGAGTGGGATGATTATATAGAGATGATCATTTAAAATTGAAGTGTGAAATTCTTTGATTGTTTGAACAGCCTTAATGGATACTTGAATCTCACTTGGGTTTCTCTTTTACTCTACAAGCTGAACAACCTTAGGCAATAGCAGATACATGTCGGTGATTAAGGATTCCTTGCAGTTGACATTTAGTAGTCTGATTAATTCCAAAACTTAAAGGGCTTAAACTTGAAGCACTTCATTAATAGTATCAAAGATAATGTCTGAGAATTTATCTATAGATTTAGGAACTGTGCCAATAATAGCATTTATACATTGATAGAGACTTTCGTTCAAAACAGGGTCATTAGTCTTAATAAGTGTCATCAATGGTGGAATGATCAAGGGTAAAAAGACTATTGAGTCTGTTCCTAAGTTATATACAATGTACTTAATCCCTTATAGTACAATGTGATGATGATCTCTCAGAGTAGGATCAAGAAGCACCTTAATTAAATGTTAAATTGCTTTAGTCGGATACTTATTCTCTTTAGTCTCTTAGAAATCATATTTCTTCAGGTATTTAATCATGTCTTGACCTCTTTGCCCAAGCTAGTTGTAGAACTGTATCATAGGCATGTCCTTAAATGCTGGATTGGTGCCATTCATTTCACTGTTTACGTGGTTCATTTGCTTTTGGACTTCATTGTCCTCTTTTGATTTTCTCTTTATGAATATATTTCTTGTTATTGAAGATTGAGTAGCTGCGTCTCTGTTGCTGTATTGACTTTCAATAGCTCCAATCTATCCTTACTTCTGATTTGGATTGTTAAGTTGCTAGTCAATCATTCTTAAAAGTGGAATATTCGCATGAATATCGCTACCATCGATTCCATCTGAATTATTATAGTATAGTTAGATTTGTTTTACTAAATAAGGGTCTAAAGCTCCAAGAGTACCAATCAGTTTAAATACGAGCTTTTTAATTGTACTTGACTGTTCATTCTGGACTAGATTTCTAATGTATTAAAGAATCTCTGGGAAGAAGAAATAAGGCTTAATTACAAAGCCAGTATTTTCGATAATTGAAATCAGAGTCTTCAGAGCTACTTCTCTTTTCTAAGCACTACTCTGATCTTTAATACACTCAAGTATCAATGGTAGCAAATCTCCCATATATGGCTTGATTGATTCACTATCTACATTAGATATCTCACCAATTGCTTCTAATACTGCTGAGATAAAAGCTGATGTTGCTTATTCTCCATCTATTTTTTAGATCAGACTTTTCAAGATTGAGTTTGCATAGGATTTTGAGAGATCTTTGTTTGACCTAACAAATGTCTTAATAAGCTTTGCTGCTTCTTCTCTCTCCTTGACATCATTACTGTGCTCAAGCTAGTTGATAAGTTGAATAATCAAATGTCTGAGGTAGGGAAGTATCTGAGATGCATTGTGATTGACAAGTCTCCCCAATATTCTTACGGTCCTATCTTTGATATCAAAGTTGGAGTCTTGCATACAGTTGAAGAGCATGAGTAGATTTTCGTATCTTGAGATAAAGGGATCGAACTGAGAGTTTAAGTATTTCAGCATTGTGCATCTGATTCTGTAGTCATTGTCAGTTGTAGCAGTTACAAAGAATTTGTGAAGTAGCTTGTTAACTATTCTCACCATCACTGCTCCTAGTCTTTGATAAGATTAACCATTAGATTATGAGAAGCTCAAACTACAGCAAGTCTTAACGGCATCTTTTCTGACTGTAGGGTTTTCATCGTCAAGATAGTTCAGAACTGAGTTCTCAATGAATTGTGTGACGCTATCACTGAATTCTGTGAAATCATAAGAAGCCAAAGTTTTCAAGGCTAAAGTGACTAATTGAGTCTTTTAATTCATTTAGGTCTCTCCTTTGTCTGATGATTAGCTACCTTGAATTAGACCAAGAATGAATTCGCACGATATCTTATTCAAAAGTTTCTTTAGGGTGGGAATATCAATTACCAGAGTGGCTGAATTAGGCTGTCCTCCAGATCTTACCTTGCTTAGCTCAAACTTTGAATCTGGTAAGTCAAGCATACTTGACTTTAGTTCCTCCTCTTGGGCAAAAGCCTGGGCTAAGGTAGTTGTGTCCATACTTTCTTTTCTGTAATTATCAATAGATTATCCTGCTAATGACAGCTATTCTTATGTTTTGTCTGGGGATGGAGAATGTCTTAGATCTTTGAGTTGATTTTCAAGAGCCTATACACTTTCATTCCTTCCAATCTGATCCTAGTTCTTTTGTCTCTTCAGATTTTCCAGTCCTATTGGGAAATGATTGGTCTTTAGAGTTAGTATAATGGAAATGGCATTGAGTAGCTTAATCTGAGTGATCATCTTGTATTTGCCTCCGCATATCTTTGACAGTTCCCCAAGAGTTTCGATTAGTTGTTTGTTAAATCCAAAGTAGAATAGATCATTGACGAAGTAGACTAAATCGAATCTTTTCTCGAACTCTTCTCCATAGTTTCTCAGCAGCATCTTAATACAGGTAAGGATTTCAAGGGTAATCTGGTATTTGGAATTTCCACTTGCTTTATTTGGTTTCACAAATGAGATTTCCTTCTCAAGTAAGTCAAAGATATTGGAAAGGGACTTGGTAAATTCTTATTTCTAAACAAGTAGCCCCATTTTGCCTAGAGACAAGAAGCCTTAGCCTCTGTCCTTATTATCCTTCTTGGTGATAAAGGAGAAAATTGCCTTGATTGATAGCTCCAGATGCTTATCAGAAAAGAATGGCTAGAGATACTTGACAAGCAGCGGCATGATTTCAATGCACTTTTTCTTGACGAAAGCGCTGCTTTTATTCATTTCATGCATTTTCATTACATTCTCTATGATTGTTTTCCCTTAAGTCTAAGACAAAATTAATATGTAGATAACTTACCCTAATGATTTCACTTCCAGATCCTTTGCTCTAGAGTAAGGCTGATAGCACAGTTAAAGCAGAATGCTAGTAATTAGGATCCTGATCAATAAAAGCGACTTGTATTTCATCATAGATTAGTCTTTGCAGTCCTTACTTTGACTATTTTGATTCTCTCTCCGATATAAGATTTAAGCAGACATTTATACATTCAGCAGCAGTATCTCTTACATTTATTCTATGATCTCTAATAATCATTAGTAAATTTTATATATAGTATTTACCTAAATGCCAAGAAAATTTATTTGTAGGAGTTATTAAGATCAAAGAGTTTGTTGAATGTGACGATTGGAAGCTTTTTGCAAAACTCTCTAAGTATCAATACAGCTGAATACTTTTTGATATCATTAGACTTAGAACTCTTCTCCGATGAGAGCCAGCTAATAGCTTATTCTAAAGTTTTCTCTACAATTTCTGCAGTAATACTACCTCCTGCTTTAGCCAGATTTCCGAGACATTCAGCAGCCTTCTCGACTAGTTCATTGTTATTGATTTTCATCTACTTTGTGATCATAGGCATGATTTTATTCACATAATGAACTATACGGGTTTCTCTGCCTACTGTCAGAATTTTGTTAATGGCAATAAAGCATCCGAGCTTTTACTCTTTGACATCTGACTAAAGCAATTCATAAAATTCTTCAAAGATGTAGTCGCAATCTTCGTTGTGTTTAGTAAGATACTAATACAGTTTCCTTGAAGCTTCTTGTTGAACTGTAATATTTTTGGACTTCAATTCCTTGAATATCCTGGTAAGCTCCACATTTTTAATAATCTGAGATGACATATTCACTCTCAATCAATTAATAGATATATTTTGATTATAAAATATCCGATCCCTATTTTTAAATCTTTTATCTTTGGGGTTTTGGGGTTTTGGGGTTTTGGGG